AATTTAGTAACCGAGGGTCGGTCACATATACCTAAACTCAATTTGGAGAAAGCTTTGATCAGCCGATGCCTTCAAATTGAAGGGTCTGGAGGATTTAAATGCGTGGGCCTATTCTGTTTGCCCCCTCCTCCTCTCTAACTAATATGCACATAGGCTATGTAGCGCATCTCTGACCTTTCCACTTCAGTCGTTTCATGTCAGCTATTTTCGGTAAACACGAATTGATAAGCAGTGACAACTACATGCATTAATCTTGTTGATACGTCTGTGTATCTGCAGTGTGGGGACTAAGGTAGTGATATACTTAGGATTTGCTTCAAACTGGTAACTTGTCATGGTAATGAATTCACAAGTAAATAAACGATTCGTATAATTTTCAAATGCATATCTAAAAACCGTTATCATTTTGTTTGCAGTCATAAAGGTTGAAAACTGTTGCCTGTTAAAGCAAAAATACGACTAGGCAATCTGACAAAGCATCAAATTCGGCCAAATGAATTAACCCTAGCCCAAACCCTATCCCCCTCACCCTAAACCTTACTCTAACCCAACCCCAACCCTAATAAACCCCAACCCTAACCCTAACCTTAGCTCTAACCGTAACCCTTACCCCATAACCCTAACCCCGTATCCCTAGCCCCATAACCCTAACCCCGTAACACTAGCCCCATAACCCTGAGCCCCTAACCCTAGCCCAAACCCGATCCCCCTCACCCTAAACCTAACTCTAACCCAACCCTATCCCTAATAAACCCCAACCCCTAACCCTAACCTTAACCCTAACCCCATAACGCTAACCCCGTAACCCTAGCCCTATATTAGGGGTATATATATACCCCTAACCCCGTAACACTAGCCATAACCCTAAGCCCCTAACCCAAGCGCAAACCCTAACCCCCTCACCTTAAAACAAACTTTAACCCAACCTTAGCCCTAATAAACTCCAACCCCTATCCCAAACCTTAGCCCTAACCCTAACCTTAGCTCTACCCTAACCCCCTAACCCCAGACCCAACCCTAGCCATGACAATAACACCGTAAACCTAACCGTAACCTAACCCTACCCCGAACCCAAACTCAATTTTGAAAATACAGTAATAACTAACCCTAATCGTAACCAACCCGAACCCCGCAACAATAACTCTAACCCCTAACCCTAACCCCGTAGCCCTAACCTTAGCCCTAAACCCAACACCTTAACCCTAGCCCTACCCCAGACCCAAACTCCACGTGAAAATACAGTAATAACTAACCCCAACCCTAACCCCGTGACCATAACCCTCGCTTTAACCCTTACCTCATGGCCAATGAGGCACGGATTAACTAAATGACAACATTAAGATTCAGTCAGATCAAAATTAAATCTAACGTGGGTTACTTTTGTGGGGGGGGGGGAACTGAATGGGCTATGCGCCTTTTCCGGCGACCATGGTGTAACCAAAAACTTACTGATTTGACACCCATTGCATTTTTGCTGTCTTTTCTGTTGTTGAATTTCCAGCAACTAAGGAATGTTCGTTTCTTTTTAGTTTTCCTGCTTGTGCTTTTCGGGCAGACCTGTCTGACCAGTGTTGGATCAACCATTTACTAGAAAGAGCGGCAGATGCAACGTATTTGTCGCAGCTTTGGGGTAACCCAAGAAGATATGAGACGTATCATTTGTCAGAATTTCTCTTTAAAAAATCAAATTATTCTGCAGTTGAAATCGAACGAGATTTGTAGTTATAGTGAATGGAAATGTTTTTCCATCAATAAAATAGGGAGGCGAGTGCCGCCCGACTGTGCCACCCCTGGATCTCTTACTGTTGAATCTCCGATAATAAACATTATACTCTCTGCACAGCTTTTCTACTGAAACACCGAGAAGAAATGGACCCAATGTGGTTGGGATCGGTTTCACCGTCGAAAATTTAGGAAATTAATATTATAAATGAAAACAAATCAGCATCCAATCCTTTAGCTCACTGTATTCGATCCAAGAAAATTATGTTGTGGATTCTGCGCCCAGGGACGTGAAAAAAAATGTGGTGAGGGGGG